AATCACTTATACCCCTACTTAAGCATCATGTATGATTATCAATTTCTGAGGTTTTTGTGAAATTTTCTAGCAGTCACTCAGCTTCTCCTCTACACAATTAATATGCAATGCATTTCTCTTCTCTAATAATCACTAACGATTACCGGTAGTAGAGAAGAGAATTAGGGTATAACACCACAGTTGGGTGATATTTATATCATGATACAGAATTAAAGAGTAAGCATCCATCTTGAAAACATGATAATCAGACATCAGGTGGGTGGGAGTTTATTCCAGCACAGTGACTGAATAGAAAGTTAAGCTTTCAGACGTTCGTGTGGAACATATTGCTGAAGATAAAATTGTTCAGTGTTCTTCTTTCTCGATAGTTTTATAGTTGAGACAGTCTAGCAACACAATCTCCTTTACTTCTATTATGATTTAATAAAATTAACTTCATTTGTTGAAGTGATTTTAAATGTTGAGTCTTTTGTGATTAGTTTAAATGCATTGATGGTGAATATATCTACAGGATAAAAGAAGCCCAGTTTTCGTTTCACGGCTTTTCTTCAACTGCTAATAGCTTGAAAATGACATAAGTTATTATATCATCGGCGGCACGCACCCACCGGGGTTCAAACCCAGGACCATCCGGTTACAAGACAAGCTCGTATACGATTCAGCCACTGGGACCCGAATCAGTGACCCATGAATTCTAACTTCCACCAATTCGTGGTTGCCTTGTAACCGGAAGGTCCTGGGTTCGAACCCTGGTGTTGGGTGCGTACTGCCGATAATTCCCAAACTAGGATGAAACAGCTATCCAGTACTCCGGTGCTGGTTTTCAATGGTTCTCTAACTGATATCAATCTGTGATCAAACTGGGAAAAACAAATCTAATCCTTACAAACCAACTCTTGAAAATCGAGTTATTATAAATGTAAAAGAGTATAACGTACTTAAAAAATTACTTCAACCAGTAGGACGTTCAATAATTATGGAATATGAGGTATGAATTTAACATAGTTATTAATGGAACAACTTTAGTTTATTTATGCGTAATATGATAGAAAGGGTGGAGAGTGAAATAAGAATGGTAATTAGGCTTAACATCATTACATAAACAAACAATAAGTTCAGTTTAGACAGTGAAAATCAGAATTACGTTCGGATTGTGATGCAACAAAAACGCAAACGAATAAGAGAGATATCTAGTTTCCAGAGTAGTGTAAGATTAATCATACTATCTTTCTGTATGTAGAGGTGAGTTTGAAACGGTTTGATAGTAATGGCTTTTGAAAATTGAAGTGTTTTCGTTGTACATCGATTATTTGGAAAGTCTGACTGATTTTGATTGTATGTCTTATGTCAATCAAGTGTTAAGCGACTGCACTTGCAAACCCTCTCTTATTTTTCATACACAAAGACTGTTAGGAATATTCACAGAAATTCTAGTAGACGCTGTCCTCTTATCCCTTGCGATGTACTTGTTGTTATAAGTTTATGAGCAGGATACTTATCTACTTTCGATTGACTGACCGTATTGGAGAGAAATTCTCGGTCAGCGCTGACAGACTGGCTTCTAGTAAGGAGGCTTAAACAGTGCATTTCTCCCTATTTGGAAATTTTCAGCTGGAGGTGTCTGCATCAAAGCGTTCGTTAGGTTCAATATCAATAATCAACGGGAGATTCAAGATATGCTCAATAAATAATAACTGATACTCGTTGTACCAGAGGTGATATTCTTGTCATACTGACCTAGTGGATGATCCTTTGTTGTTTTAAACGATAGGTGGTAGGTCTGAATCCTGGTGAGAGATTTTATGACTCAATAGATATGCAGGTGCATCCAGTTGATGAGACGAAACAGGATTCCTGGATTTCACTGTTAGCCACCATCAATTAAATAATGTTTTACATTTTATCTATTATCTCTTACTATTGTAAATATTTATTTAGTAAGATAACGATGAAGCGTTCTCTATTTAGTGTTCTTCCGTCTGTTAAATCCCACACACAAACACATACTTCACGTGGAGACCTTAATAGCAATTTTTTATTGCTGTCTACTACTTATATTCTTCTATGAGATAAGAGATACTTGATGTTTTCTATTATCTATCTACTTATCTATTTCATTGTCACTATACCGAGGCATGTAAACAGACCGCCATATGGTTGGTTTAATTTCAATAATCAGAATAATCATTACTGATGATAACATGAAATTCAGAATTAGTTGGAATAAAGAGAAGAACTCAGTAGGTAGTGTTTGACAAAGATTGCTTACTGAAGAGGATTTCTGAACGCGACCAGCATCCAACCACCAAACACATACATCCACATAAATTTACATAAAGACTTGTATACTACTTATTTAGTAGTAACATTATATACACAAAAGAACTTGCGTGAGATGCTGAACAAAGCAGTAAATAGGCTAAAAACGAGTGGTCACATTGCCTGGGGAATTCACTTTTTATATATTATGCAAATCTGTAGCAGGGTGTGTGTGTGAGGTATAGTGGTAGACTACTGGCCAACCACACAGTGGTCTGGATTCAGTTGCCGGTCGATGCACTCCTAAACTTCTCCTAACTGGTAATATGCCTTGCAGAAAGGAAAGGTTGAAGGTGGGACTATCAACCCCATCCCGTAACAGAACACTGCGTTACTGGACATTCAAGGACTGAAGCTTGAATCACTATGTTCCATTCTGAACGCAGAGGGGAGTGAATATCTCTCTTTTTCAAAACAAACTATATGAAGCACTATGACGATGCAGAATTTCTATATTGGAAGGGTACAAAATGTGCTTCTTAAAAGAAAATTAACAGAACACTTGTAGTGCCCTAGTTGTCTGTGTTTTATACTTTGATGAGTGGAAAAGATAAAGGCACCATGTTTGTAGATGAAGGTACATCAGGGTGAAAATTATTATTTTTACCACTATTATTATTACGATTACCAGCGATTTCTACAACGTTGATATGAAACCATCAAAACCCATCCCACTGGTGTTCCAATCATCCCCTTATAAGCTGGTTACTCCGCAGTCTGACAATCCATCCACTGTGAAGTACCAGTCAAACGTAGCTACCCAAGTTAGCAAGTTTTTCTAGGCGTTATGACAAACGTCCTATTTCCATTAAGAAAACTAAAGCACATGAGGTGTCCAAGCAACAGAAACCCTACCATTCTAGAATTCAGTTTGCACCAAAGAAAGGACTAGACACATCACACTAGTTACTAGTGTCCAATTAAAGTATCCAATACAGTCCTACAGGAGGTCAATCGCAAGCCCAAATAGCTCAGTGATAAAGTGTCTGACTGCAGCACTGGGTGACGCGGGTTTGAATCTCAGAAGGTAAATGAGTTCCTTCAAGGTTGCAGATACGCCTTGGTGACTGGTGAGTGCCAGATTGCACGAAACCTAGGCCAGACGGGGCTTTCTGCCGATTGCCTCCAACCATCTAATATCATGCTCGGTCTCTGTTGACATGTTGGCTTCTAGTACGGACGCTATTTTGGTTGGTAATAACTAGCAGGATGTTCACTTCCTCTCATTAGGGGCTCTTCGGCTGGATGTGCTTGAAGTCCCCAGTGAGTGATGGTGTCCTCACTAAGACTCGAATCCAGCACTTATTGGCCATGAGAACCACCTCTTGTTCAGTGGGAGCACCACTACTTACTCTGAAGGCAGATACGTTCAGATGAAAAGTCCCGAATAGGACGAAAGGCAACTTAGCCTTGATTTCCTTAAGGGAAACACTGTCTAAACTTGTCATGAAGATATCAACTATAAAAGGTCCTAAAAGGGTCCCCATAACAATTCTATCCCATTCGTTGTCATATCACTAAGACTAAATTGCATATTAAACATACATTTCATTATCACCTCCTTTAGGTAATTCGTTGATATTCCAAGGCCCATGATATTATTATTATTCTCTTGTCTTCTGAGTAGAACAAAGGGCTTCAAAGAAAGCTCCATTTCACTTTGCCCACTCTGCTGTCCTATTTAGCTGGCTCCACGATTGCCCATAGACTGTCATCTCCTCTTCACACGTTCTCCTCCATGTCATCCTCTAAACCGTACCCAACTCTTCATTTCCCATTAGGGTTCCATTCTAGGGCATGGTGAGTGATGTCATCTGACGATCTCATCGGTGTGTGTGTTTGTGTGTGTCTGATCCATCTCCACTTCCTTCAGCATATTTGTTTGTTTGCCAGAGTTTTGTTATTGCTAATCCGGATTTTCAACTCCAATGTGAAGTCAGTGCTACTTACTATACGGATCAGAAACTTGGCGCGTCATAAAGAGCATCTCAAACAAACTACAGACCTTCATTAACAGTTGTCTTCGCTCAATACTCAAGATCAGATGGCTGGCCAGAAAAGATCAGGAACAGAGATCTCTGGGAGCGAACCAACCAGGAACCGATTGTGAAACAAATAGGCAGGAAGAAATGGAGATGGATTGGCCATACTCTGAGGAAACCATCAAGTGACATCACTAGACAAGCCATTGCTCGAGTGGAACCCGAAAGGGAAGCGGCGAGTTGGTCGTCAGTGCAAGGGTGACTTGGAGGAGGTCATGTGAAGAGGAGATGAAAACGTGTGGGCAGACTTGGAGCCAGGTGAAGACTCTAGCAGAGAACCGAACGCAATGGAGACGCATGGCTGAAGCCCTATGTTCTTCTAGGAATTAAAGGAAACAATAATAATAATAAATAATAATAATAATAATAATCCTTTCTGGCTATCTGATCTTCATCTTGATCATGATATATATATATATACGCTTATAATGTAGAGAATGACGATCAATACATTTTGAAATAGAATCGATTCTTATTCATTTGCTGATGCTTACATAATATGTTTCAGTTACTTCACTTCATAATGCTTGCATCTTGATGCAACAGATAAAATTTTATTTTGATTCTTTATTATTATTATTTAATTTACCTTTTAAATTTAATATCGAATTAATGGAAATAAAATAAAAGAAGTGAATAATGAATTGTTCTATTCATTATCATCCTCCTTATCACTCTCATCATCTGAGTAATAAGAGACATTCAAAATATTCAAATGCTACTACTAATAACAACGATATTGATAAGGATATATTCTATCCATTGGAAAATATTTGTCCAGATGATTCTGATTTATCATTTAAACAAAATGGTAATATTAGAAAAGCTTCAGGAACAAATGGACATCGAAGACATAGCCAACAACACAACAACAACAGGGACAACAACAGCAACTTCAAAAGCATCAACCATTTCCACCACCACCACCACCACCACAAGAAAACGAACAACACCAACACAGTCAACCAACTCTTTATAATATCAATCAACGTGATCAAGAAACAATGAATAGTACTAATTTGCATAGATATTATTCACGTCGGACACCGATGAGAGCACGTTTAAATCAATTTAAAATATTACATCATTATAATAATCATAAAAGATTACAAAATCGATTAGTACTACCCAACCAAACATGTAAATTATCATCAAGTGATAAGAAACAGCAACACCAACAGCAACAACAAAAACAACAATCATTGCGTAGTTATCGTAATCGTGTTCTACGAATACTACATGATAAACATCGTGTAAAATTTTATGAAGAAAGAGAATTAATCAAAAAATTTAGTGATGTTGATCATATTGATGATGATGATGATGATGACGATACTGATAATGAAGATGATGCCGATGGCGGGCATTATGAATCTGATGAAAAAGATGAATACTACTATCATTATCATCAGGATAATGAGGCGGATACTGTTTCTATTGAAGCTGTTACTAAAGACAATAATGATACTGTTGACGAGGATGTAGACGCTGCTGATGATGGAATTTGTGATAAGCATGTTGAACATGGCGAAAATTCCGTTTATGCACAACCAGTAAATGAATGTAATTTAACCGAGGTTACACACGAAGAGAATAATAAAAGTGAAGAACACCTACCTGATCGTATTAATGAGGAAACAGTAAAATGATGTAACTGTCACTTACTTACTTAATAGTAGATAATGAATTTCTTTCAAATCTAACAAAAATAAAGGGGGAAGGAGAATTATTGAAGCGTTAGGATTTGACATGTCAGCAGTTGCCTTTTTAAAAATTGTACTCTGGAATATTTCACCACCAAAATACACTTTCAGACAGAAATGCAACATCATTTGAAAAAATGTAATGCAACTCTTAAGGTAAGATAGTAATCAAAGTAACTAATCATAGTAAGATATATATCACAAAGATGCATCTCCAACCTGGAAGGAACTGATGTCCCTTATGAGATTTGAAAGCGCATCACTCAGTTTCGCAGTCAAAGACGCTACCAAGGAGCTGACTGTTCTCATGATTGACATCCTATAAGACTGTAATGGATACATCCACCAGTCACTAGGATGTAGCCAATGTCATGTGTCTTTATGTAGGTGCTGAGTGAGCTCTATCAGAAATCATGAGTTCCTGAGGTATTTAATTACGGTAGCAGGCGCAGCCAGTCGTCTTATTTAAAACAACTATTATAGTGATCATCAAAACGCATGACAATGGTAGTACAAACAAAAACATGATCCGAATTTAGACAAGTACCCTAGATATAGGGATATTCCTTCATGCATACCCAAGCGATCCGTGGCTGACTGCAATGTGATCTATCTAGGCGTAAGCTTGATTGATAGAGGAAGGATGTCAAGAGACGTAACGCGGACTACTGGTTCGGGAATTTGTTATGAATAGAAATAAATAGTGATAGGTGCAGAGTTTTAGACATACTCCATTATCTGGTAAACAACCAGTTAGTATTCAGTAGCCGCCTTAAACAATCTTTCGTGGTCAGACGTCTTACTTGCGTATTCAACTCCACAATTAATACTATTATTTGTACAGAGCACCCTTGGGTGGGATCACCTGAGTGAAGGTAGAAGTCACCCTCAATTTCATTTGAACTGTAGTCACTTTTGGAGTGGATAGTGATGGTGAAAAGACAGTACATCTCCTGCTAACTACTTCTTACTCTAATTGAACCCACTGGCTTAACATTACAATTTATTAATGTTGGACATGGAATCAAGAAGCGTAGCCTCGGCCTTAGAAGCTAGTATGATATCAACTCTGTAGAATATAGATACCACAGGGTCACCGAATAAGCGTATAAGATGCATCCTTTCTGAGCCAACTGGTTCAGAAGATGTTTGAAGAAGTTCACTGATACCTTGTATAAGGTCCATGAAATCCAGTATACACCAATAACGAAGGCATTCGGTGATTTATTCCAGAGCTATTTCTTGTTGGGTTTAGTTCTGGATAGAAATATTGTAGAAGGCAGAATTAAATAGAATAAGGTTGTGAGTAAACTAAAGATAGAAGTAAAAGTAGAAAGATAATAAAACGGTATGATCCATTGGCAGATAAAAATAGCAACTGACATATATTTGCAATGATTTTAATAACTGAGCGTACAACTTTTAGGATTTTTTTTTACCGTAATACCAGAGCTTTGGAATTCTCATTGTAATTATCTTACCATAATTTGTGCAAGACTGGGATATAGTCCAGATATCCAGACCAAAGAAGACGTTTGTACCAAGAGATCCCTTTGATTCTCCAATATGAAGTAGAATTCAACTCCACGGGCTACATTCCCATAATTGTCAGTGACTGATACAAGTTCATGGGTGCCCATTCCCTTCGGACGAGGAAGGCTATGCTTCCTATTGATTTGGGACAATGGTTATTCAACTTTCCTGTATGTGTATCTTTCGCGTCCGCCAGTCAGGGGATAAGGGATGGGTAGTAGCAATCACCCTTTTATACATGTAAAACTACTCACGCATTGTCTGAAAAGACTGCATACATAGAGATATGACGTAAGATCACATTTAAAATGATCCACGGAACCTAAATCATACTAAGGATCTTAGGGGTAAACATTTACAAACTGTCTCACGGGAATAGTTTTTTGTAGTAATAACTATGATCGTTTACAAAGAGGAGTTTTATGTTTGTGTACTTTAAAGTAATCCTACTATGGGTGCTTTTGTTACAAATAGTGCATATAATATTATAAAAGGATGTAACATTAAAGGAAATTTTCTTTCAGAAGAATCACTTTCGAAAGCTGTACAATTGTATTTGTGTTCAACAGAGAATTCATAAAACCAATCAAATACTGGTAATTAAGTTTTAGAAAACGTTTTACCTAGTGAGATGAATAATCTGGAGCGGAATGCACGAATGCGGGTTATGAAACTGAAGTTGGGATTAAGTAGATTGACAAATCAAGTTATATTATATAATCCATGATGAAATAAATGTTATTATGAGAAATTTAGGTAGGAGGAGGGGATGAGTGTGGGTTATCCGGTTGAAGTCTTCGAGATATCAAGAATCAACTGTTTGAAACTTTCAGTAAAATTGTCTGGGATTAACCTGAATAGACAAGATATAATCACTAGATATTATCATTTTTAAATTACTATTTTAATTCTCCAACTCATTTCAATTGGTTACAGAATACTATTATGGGTAAAATTTATTTTGATAAAGTCTCACAGTGTTATACAGTAATATTTACTAATGACATTTTGAGCACAATTTATTGCTCATAATCATAATCATAATTTCATATCATATCATATCACCTTGATATGATTATAAGCAATAAATTGTGCTCGAAACTTGGTCATCAGTAACCATTACTGTATAACACTGTCAGACTTTATCAAAATAAATTTTACCCATAACGGAACTATACTCTACCACAGTGCACAAGTTTTATTCTTATATCAGTGGTTACAGAATAATTTCAGCATTTGTTTATCAGATAGGTACATCTGGATTTCCATATAACGGTGTGCTGAAGTAACTTAGTGAATACATTGATGAATAGCACATAGCATCTTGAAGTGATATACTTCTGTGAGAACTTGTATACGGATCTTCTTGTCTGTCCGTATATCTATCTGTATGCATATCTATGGAAAAAGTAATAATAAGTATCTTTTCTACTGATACCTACATAGTATTCGACTCTTAATTAACAAAAAATTGAGGTAGTAAACGCACATTTTCTGGTTAATGAATTCCATATATGATAGACAGCTATTTTCCCTTTCTTCACTTAACTAAAAAAGCTCACTATTACCAAACCATACAAATAAGCAAGAAACAATATATTTTCAAGTGTTGATTTTGCAGCAACTTGACTGATTTCAATTTAGAGAATTATCAGAAACCAGAAAATACTAGATAACTGTGTTTCATCTTAGTTTGGAACTTTTCAACAGTACTCACCTAAGACTCCACTGGTAGTCAGATTACGAGACCAGCCTGTTGACCAGGTTTTAATTTGCAGTGGGAATCACTAGAAAAACAATCACATAGACTACTGGGCAACATAAGATTAACACCGATTACCGAAATTGCTTTGTGGAAGGATATCTGTTGTTTTTTTATAATAAAATAAAAATAAAATAAATCTGATGCTGATCAGTGACTGACTGTAGGATGAAGTTCCCTGGAGTTTCAGTGAGAAGTAGTGACCAATTGGGTTCACCAGATTGGGTTGACAAATACTCGGCGATGACGTTGGCTGGCGGTCACGCTATTTACCTTGAATTGATAGGAGTTAGAATTCAAAGTCTGGTTATTGGATTCCATCCCAGTGGATGAATGTTTAACGAGATCGCCTAGTAATCTGAAGGTCCTGGATTCAATACTTAGCGGAGGAGTCATGGGTGTGTACGATGAAGAGTCCCGAACAAGCACGAAACAACTGTCCATTACTTTCTGCTTTTCAATATGTTCTATAGTTCGGTTTGTAAGGGTTAGTTATGTTTTTACGAGTTGATCACGGATTGATATCAGTTAGAGAACCATTGAAAACCACCGGAAGGTACTGGACAGCTGTTTCATCCTAGTTTGGGAATCATCGGCATTACGCACCCACTGGGATTCGAACCCAGGACTTTCTAACAATTCGTGATTTAGCGCGACTCCAAATCACGAACTGTTAGAAGTTAGAATTCATGGGCCATTGAATTGGGTCCCAGTGGCTGAATGGTATACGAGCCAGCTTGCTGTGTAACCGGAAGGTCCTGGGTTCGAACCCTGGTGTGTGGGTGCGTACTGCCGATGATTCCCAAAACAGGATGAAACAGCTGTCCACTACTCCCTGGTTTTCAGTGGTTCTTTAACTGATTTCAATAGTCCTTTAAGTAATATCAACCTGTGATCAAACTTGAAGAATGTTTATTGTTTCGCCTGTTTATTTCTTCTTTTTTTCAATTCCCAATGTTTACAGACACAAAAATCAGCTGGGTGACATGAAGTGAAACATTAACCGATCAATTGTTATGCTCTGACAAGTCATCTAAAGAGAAAAATTAGAAGAACAACAACAATAACAACAACAAAAACTGACAAACATGAACTGAAATATTCATTCAACACAATCTGAATAATAAAATGAACGCGTACAATGAATAATAATAGTTATGATGTTATCTGAGTATTTAAACAATGAACATTTATTCATTTCTGTAAAGTTTTGAAATTTGATTTAAATTGTTTTTCTTTTAAAATTCACTTATTTAGTTACTTTTATCTTTACATTATTATTAATAGTAATCTTTAATTCAGTTTTATATTCGTTCACATACACATATTTATTATGTATCTTAAACTGGAGTTTGACACTTACTGATTAACCTTTGACGGCAGTCAAGACAGCATTTCAATATAAATTAAAGATGGTAACTGCTGGATGAATAAAGTTTCGAGTGCTCAGTGGATCTTATATATGCTTCTATTGATTATTCTTAAGGTATGATTAAATTTATGCAGTACCTTATTACCTGGTTCAAATTTCTAACGAGAAATGCATTACGTCAAGGAGAAGTGTTATGTAGTTTAATATTCATTCCGCGAATTTCACCGGGTGAATTACTGTCAGTATTCAGGTTATGCTAGCTATGTTCATTATGATCCT